CAACCTTTTTGGCCAAGGTTGGCTAGGGTTTCCTCTAATTCTGGGAGCTGGATCGTTTGACATCTTTTTCTGTAAAATCTAAATAAAATAACAAATGATATAAGTATACCATCACTATATTTAATCGCACGAATCTAGTAGAACACTTTATTACAGAGAATTACATATTAAGAAAATCTTAAAGTCCCAATTTTGTTTTATAAAGAAACAACAAAAAAAAAATTGGAATTTATTTTACAGTGAAACATCAAAGAGATTCAAAAAAATTGCACTCCATTAATTAAACTCAATGATTTAGACAAAAACAAAAATCACTCATTATGTGTGTTGATTAAGTGAGGCTACAAATTGACGTAATTTTACGAAAATGGAAATTTATATTAAGATATCACTTACTTTATCGACACAAAATTAAATTTTTACTGCATATATGTAATATATTATTAATAATAAATGTGAATGCTGAAAAACAACAGTTAAAGGTATTGAGATTTTAATAATACCTTAAAAGCTGTTCCAGAAATCACAGGAATCGCGGCTTGGCTTATTTATTTAGAAAGATGCGGCACTGCCAAATTTACATATTACTAAACAACAAATGACCAACAACATATATAGTTTATCTGCTTTTAATTATATTTCATAATAAAAAAAAATTCTTAAATTCAATTCTCAACTTAGTACTGAAATGATTTTATTCAACTTTCTACCATTCTGACTATGTTTTTAGGTATTTATTTAAATATTTACAGTAAATAAGATTAAAGAATTGGTATTCAGTTTTTGACTAATTGTTGGTAATTTTTCTAAGAAGAGTTAATGTGTTGGCAAATAAATAATTTTGACTGTTTTTAGTTTCCCAAATATCAATTAAATTATTTTGTTCCCATATTTTAAAATTAATAAATACAAATAACTAAGGTTATAATTTTAAAACAACATATTATTTTCATGATAATGATATATTTCAAGTCAAAGTTCTAAAAAAAGAAAGGCATAATTTTTGAAATAACCCATTTGACAATTTTATTATGAAATATGATTTTTCCTAAAATGATTCATAAAAGAGTCTACTAGTTTGCTTTCAATCTGCTGTTAGTTTGTCAGTAATTTGTAATTAGTTTAGCATTAGTCTGTCAGTAGTCTATATTCAATTATTTGACCAAACAATCTGCCAGTAGTCAACATTCATTCTGATGTTAGTCTGCCATTAGTCTAAAAATAACAGTAGTTAGAAGGGTAGCGCCGATATTTATAAAAATCGTAAAAATATATCATTTTCACAATTTTCCCTCAATAGAGTACTCATTTCACATTATTTTATTATTCTAAGTCATTTTAGAGCATTTCTTCAAAAAGAAAAATCAACTGTTAGCGGAAGTCTCTAAGAAAATTGCTTAATGCCATATTAACCAGATTTTGAACCGTTCATTCCGTTTAAGGACATATCATGTGTGCATGATATTCAAGTTTTTTTTGCTTCCAAATAAAAAACATCAATACAAAGCTTATCACTGCTTGCCTTTTTTTTGACAACTAAATAACTATATTAAAAACTAAAATTGTAAAAGGGTTTAAATGGATACATATGATTAAAGTAAAGCAGTATTATAAAACAAATGATAAAAGTATTAAGAAGTGAGACTTGATCAGTAGCGTGAAGAAGCTCATGAAGAAGCTTCACCTATAACCTGAAAGTAGTTGCTCGAAAGAGTATCAATAGTGAAGAAGTGAACTGACGTTAATACGCACAAATGATGGGCTTGATAATGGACTTGAAACACTGTCATTAGTAGTCGTTCATTAGTAGTCGAAAAAATGAACATTGTTGCCAAAATCGTCGGCTACTTCTAACTCCTTAGATACCCAAATTTGGAATTAAAATAGCGGCAATAACTCAAAGATCAAGTCCAACGTGGAACTAAACTATGAGTTTTGATACCCAATAATAATAAACGTTGATGAGAGCTGAAATGATAAAGGACTTGCTGTGGAGAGGCAGATACAGATTTTACTAGACTGAGATTTGGGCTTAAAGCGCAGCTAGAAATTTAAGGCTCTTGCTATGGAGAGGCAGTGGCGATCTGCCGGTGACTCGCCAACGGGAACTCTGGTAGGGAAGACAGACTCGAAGCCCAAGACATGTCACATTGGAGCTTTGGAGTGGGCATAGAAATGTCGGAGTTTCTGGTAAGAGTTATATAACTGGCAGGTTGAGAGGTTTGGATCTTCTTGAAGACTCCAGCAAAGGTGTGGAGGAGTGGGAAGAGTGGTGAGAGTAGCAGAGCAGAAGCAAGACACAGAGGAAGAGACGCATTTGGTGGACCTGGAGGCTCAGGCGAATCTGGAGGTTTTGGTGGTTGAAGACTCACTTGCAGCTCCGAGGAAGATGTCGCTAGAAGTTGAGAAGAAATGGCGCTCCGATCTGCAAAACGCAGTGTACAGGCCAAAGAGATCAGAGAAAAACACGAAGCCTCTCAAAACATCGCAAGAGATGGCGGAGGAGAGATACGGGCGAGGTTCACCGGCGGAGCAGCACAAAGATTCTTCCCGAAGCTGACGTCGACTCTGCTTAGGAGAGAACGAAGGATGACCAGTGACGGAAGTCCATTCTATGCAGAAAACCTTTGGTGGCCAAGGTCACTTTGGGAGTCGGGTCTGGGAGAAAAAATTAGGGCGAGCCAAAAAAAACAGCCACTCTTTGCACGCTTTACTGCTTGCCTCCCAAATGTAATCTCATGTTGTGTGGATTTTTATTTTATTCCAAATATATAATAATTCATATAAGAATAAGATTAAAATGTAGTTTACTAGATTGTTCGATAGTAAATATACTTAAAATCATAATTAATACATATTTGGTACTTATTACCAACCTGTCAAAAATTATATTCAAATTTGGTATTTATGGCCAACCTGTCGAAATTAATTTTGTTATATGAGAATTTATATATTATTACAATCTAAAAAATAAATCATCAAATTTTTTTAAAAATTAAATATATTTGTGTGGTTTATCTATTAGTAATTTAAGTTGTTATAAATAATCAAAATTTAAAAAGAAAACAAAAACAATTTTAAATATTTGAAAATTTTGAATATAATTTCTCATTTTAATACAGATTTGATACTAATACAGAAATCTTAGATGCTAATGATATGACATTGGAAAATGATGGATTCAACATGAAGGAAGATCAGCGAAAATCATGTAGAGAAGTTTTTAACGCGAGTCTTGTGAAGCATAACTTCTTTAGAAACCATAGAGATCATATACGAGAGATGAATGTGAAGAAAAATAAATCTTTGTTTGCTTAGAGAGAGTTAATATATTCGAAGGACTCGAATTATATCCAAGTTTTTATAATGCCGTGAAACAGAAAACCATAGTTGATCAAGTGTTGAACTACAAGAGAAATAGGGTTAATGTTGATTAGTACCCGTACCAAGATTCTATTTTTGAATATGTTAGGTAAAAACAAATGTGAATTAAAATAAATAACTGTAAGTTTTTTGATTTTGTGTTATTAATATTTTTTTTTGAACCAGTGACCTGATTTTGTTTTCTATTTAATAAAAAAATTAGAATTTTTTTATTACAAACCTACATATATACATATCATAATCTAATATAATATAAAGATATAATCTCTCAATTAACAAAAGAAACAAAAAAAAAAAATTCTTCAATTCATCTTCTTCTTCTCTATTTCATAGTTTATGGCTTCTCTCTCGCTATGGTGATGAATGTTTTATAAGTTTTTAGATTTTGGTTTTTGATTTTTGTTTTTAGATCTTGGTTTTTAACTTTAGTTTTTGGATTTTGTTATAGATTTTGGTTTTCTACAAATTTGAATGGTGATTTATTTAGTTTTTGGTTTTTAAGTATACATTTGTTTTAATCTAGATTTATTTAAAATTTTTGAAGGTAAATCCTGGTAAAATAATATTGATATGAAAATATTTTTTCTTATAAAAATAATAATCAATACTAAAAGTTTATGAGTAAAAATGTACATAAATGTATTTGATTAAAGAAACTAGAAAAGTGCATTTAATATTATTAGTTCAAAAAAGAAAATTTATTTCATAAATTTATTTTAAAAGAAAAACAGTAAAAATAAATTACAATGATCGATCATCCCATAAAGATGCAGAAATTTGATCCCGGATTACTTCCATATATTCCATCGGAGGTTATTGCCTTCTTTGCCTTCATCTGAATTATAATTTTCTTCAACTACATTACTAGCTTGACTCGCTTGACGATTGTTTGAATCAAAATTGACATCTCGAAGGTTTGATAACCTAATAAAATTGTATAGCGCCATTGTTGCTGCAATAACCTTACGTTGAACATGTATACCATACTTTTGGTTTTCTATTAAAACCTTCTATTTTTCCTTCCACACACCAAAAAAGTCCGTTCAATGATAGATCGTAACAAAATAATGACGTTTGTTAAACATCTCTTTAGAGCTATTTGGCAGAGTAGCTCTATTATATTCGCTAGAATGATATATTTCACCTTGGTAAGGAGTAAGGAATCCAGGTCGAAGAGGATAACCAGAATCTCCCAAATAATACTTTTCAAAAAGGCGGAGTTGGAAATTGATGAGGCCCCTCCATCGCTAATGCTAGAACTTTTGCATCATAAGCTGATCCTGGAATACCAACATATGCATATGTAAATAACATGTCCATATTGGATAGAGCTAGGATTTCATACTGGTGTCACTTTTTTCTGTTCTAATATTTTTCTGCATTTTTCCTGCAATAGTGACACAAACATGTGTACCATCAATTGCACCAATAAGCCCTTTAAAGTGACGCACATACCTGTTGTCTGATACTAGCCTTGAATGAGGTTGTGTGAGCTAATCTGGACCAGGTCTAAGCAAATTAACCGCCATTCTCTTGAGGGCATTCAACACTTCGTGGAATTTTCTGCTTATGGTTTCTTGTGAATGACCAAATACATTTCCAAACATATCTCTGATTTAAATTGTGAGCACATATGTTTTAGAAAAAATTGCAACGCTTTTGAGGATGCTTATATAATCAGTCTCCTTCAAATGATAAGCTTCCTTTAGTTTTTCACATAATTGAATGTATACTGGTGGATACATCCGAATAATGTGATAGCATTGTTGGTTGTGACCATGGATAAGGTCATATACGTATCTCCAACCGTATTCTGGATCTAAGTTCATTCGTTGCCTCTCTATACCCATAACTGGTTTCCCAAAGATAATGCTTCCATCTTCTGCTTTATCATCTTCAAGCATTTTGTAAAATGCTTCTCTCTAAAAATATATATATAACAAAATAAATTATTAAAAGTCAAAATATTTATTAATGCATAAATATAAAATAATAAACAGTCATTATTCTACATTAAACACTAATTAACTGTGACTCTCATCATACGTTGCAGTAGACGATATCTATCATAACTTATTTTATATTATAATATTATTTTTAGTGAATTCCATTCAGAATTTTGACCTGTTGCTTCTTGAAATGTTCATGACACTAACGAAAAATATTTGTAAATATTCATTTATTTTGTTGTGAATTAAATTTGTTAATAAAAATGAATAATTATTACATAAAGATAAAAAAGGAATTTTAATATATACAAATTGATCTATATAATTAAGTCTTATCTAATTATATAAATTTTGACATTCAAAGTTAGTAATTAACATGATTGCAACGTATCAAGTTAACTGATCAGATTTTGACACATATCATGATTAATATATATCCGTAAATAAAATGATAGTTAAAAAAATTCTACAATGTTATTGTAACGACCCTGGCCGGTCTGTTTTGAATAAGTATAAATGAATTGATTTGGCTACCTATGTCATTAAAGTGCACTTATGTTTTTGGTTAGTGGGTCTGAGAGAACTCAAGAGTTAAGCGTGCTTGAGCTGGAGCAGGACTAGGATAGGTGACTTTTCGAAAAGTCATTCCCAAAACCGTGTGAGTGAGGCCAAAACACGGGAAAAGATCTTGTGGTGATTGCATGATCAGTAAATAAGTCAGTTGGGCTCCAAGAAAAATAACGCACCGGCCATTGGACAGGGGTGGGACCACGAGCCCGACGGAAGGATGGGTGATTCGACAGTAAGGGCGGTCGGGGGCGTTACAAGTGGTATCAGAGCCTGGGAAGTCAAACTGGCTCTGTCCCAGGAGACTGTCTTGGGGTTTGGAGGTTAAGGGTCACATTGTCGGGATCAGAATTCGGAGATGAATTCCCGTTTAGTGGGAGAAAATTGTAACGACCTTGGTCCGGTCTATTTGAATAAGTTTAAATGAATTGATTTGGCTACCTATGTCATCAAAATGCACTTATCTTTTCGGTTAGTGGGCCTGAGAGAACTCCAGGGTTAAGCGTGCTTGAGCTGGAGCAGGACTAGAATGGGTAATCTTTCGAGAAGTGATTTCCGAAAACTATGTGAGTGAGGCCAAAACATGGGAAAAAAACTTGTGGTGATTGCAGGATCAGTAAATAAATCGGTTGGACTCCGGAAAAAATATTGCACCTGTCGTCCTATAGGGGTGGGGCCCATATGAGCCTGATGGAGAGAGGGGTGACTCGCCGGTAGAGATGGTCGGGGGCGTTACACTTATACTAATTGTATATATAAAATAAGAACTAAAAACATGAAAAAAATTAAAGACAAAAGTAAATAACTAATGATTTGAAAAAAAAAGATTACATCCTACCCTTAAAAAATAGAAATTGCTACAAACAGCTAACATAATTCAATAGATTAATTAGTTGTTGGGATGTTCGATTATATTTTTATTTTTTAGAAATCTAAGACCAACCCCAATGGTCATCTCTAGGTATCTACTGAAGGAATCTTAATAATATAGTTGAATAAAAAAATTGTACAGAGTGTCTAAACTTTAAGACCAGGGTCTAAAATAAGATCTTTTTCTTAGTTAAGAACAGACACATGTCAAGATATGAGTGGACAAATTTTATGACATCTAAAATAAGATCTTTTAATTCCAGTTTCTGAATTGCACTTCTATAATTTACTAGATATAGACCCTTGAGTTGCACATATTTTTAATTTAAATTATTAATTTAAGTTAAGGTTATAATTTTTTTTTTTTTGTAAAATTAAGTAATTTTTTTTTTCATTTTTGTAAAATTAGTAGTTATTTTTATTGAACACCAGAAATTAATTTACTCTAAACACTAATAGACTAATTTAAATCATGTAAAAAGAAAATGTCAACAGGTAACACACTGTAATAATATATATCTGTTTTTGTTTTTTTATAGAATTAGAATTTTATTTTATCTTCAATCTGTTTTTGTTTTTTTTCAGAATTATAAGTTTATCTTATTTTTAATGTGTTATTGTTTTTTTTAGAATTAGAAGTTTGTCTTATTTTTAATTGAGATACATCTTATTTTTAATTGAGATACACTTGTTTTGGTTTTTTTAATTAAATATTTTTTTTTAGTTTTTGTATACTATTTTAAATAATACGTGTAAAAAACTGATCGAATTAAATCGCCATGTGTCGCGATCTTGTGAATTACTAACTTTGATGCATCCAACTTTATATAATAAGATATGTTTTCATGTATTACATTTTTAAAAACATATTAAAAACTTGTTAACATAAATTTATACTTAAATTTATTAAAAAAAAAAATTATATTTTTGTTTTGTTTTTAAGACATCCATCAAAAGTATCTTCATTGTCTGCTTAAAAACAACAAAATACTATAAAGTATTTTTATATACATAAAGTACACAAAATATTAATAATTAATCAATAAGACCCACAAAATATTAAATATTAATAATTAATCAATAAGAAGGAAAATTTGAGTCTAACAGATTTCAGCAAATATAAAAAGTATATTTTTTTTATATAGGCATCTGATCTAGTTAGTTCTTGTATGCTTGTATAGTATCTTATTTTAGCTCGTTTTTTGGAAAGTTATTATAATAATTCTCTCATGGATAGAAGTTACGAGATGCTCAAACGTCAAAAGAACAGAAATAGTGTCGCCATAATTATTGCAATGCAGCTAAAACCCTAAGAACTGAAATAGTGTCGCCATAATTATTGCAATGCAGGTGAAACCCTAAAGTTTATTAATGAATTAATGAAGCCTAATCGTTTCCATTATTGGAAGAAAGAGTCGCTAAAATTCGTGCTGACTTTATCTATGACAGGAACAATACTATCTCTGTTTCTTTTTAATTGTCATTTTAGATGATTTCACACAGATTAAATTTTCTAATTTACATTTATTTATTATACTATTTTGTTTGATAAGAGTATTTAATAAGCTAAAAAGGTAAAAATAAAACTGGAAAATTTATCATAAATCTGTATTGAAAACTGAAAACAATAATTATTTTAAAATAAAAAAGTAGTCTGCAACTACAATTAAAAAGAAATAAAGGAAGTATCGTTTTTTAAACAATAGATATAACTAAAGAAAAAGTGAATATAAGAACATGACTTGGAGAGATGCCCCGTCTTTTTGGATGATTATGTTAGACAAGCACCGCATGATTAACAAAGTGAGGGGAGTGCGGACCGGCCCCGTTCACATGTACAAATGCTGATTGTGTTGCTTATTGCAAAACCAATTTTGGTTGTCCTCTGGGTCTGTTGGGCGGTTGTTGAGGGAACCGATAAACACTGCCATTGCTACTCAAACTAAGGAAGTTTGAAACAATCTTATATAAGTATCAAGTGTATGTATTTGGTGTGTGTGTGTGTGTTTATGTTCAAGTTTCTTTTGCTTCCAAATAAAACATTAATGGCAAAGCTTATCACTGCTTGCCCCTCCTAAGTGTAATCTCATGTTGTGTTCACTTTTGTTTGGTGTTTGTGTTCCTCATTCGCATCCAGCCTAAATTCAAATGTGGGCACACGTATATCCTCTACGAATATTTTCCAAATCTTGGACAATATATAAGACCAGAGTGGATTTTTTTCTCTTCTAAAAGCGTCTGAAAATTCAAAGGGGTAAACCCCTAGACTCAAGAGATTAAACATCTTGGACTTAAACAGAACCTTATACCGTTGTAGTTTTGTAGCCATGATTCGTGCATGAATCCGAGGAGCAATGGACCAAATTAGCTTCGTTTTTCTTTAAGATTTTACATTTTTCTTTTCTATGCTTTCAAGATGGCAAACGCTGTTAGTTTGAGACCAAAGAGGTAAATAATAAAAATCATACGCTTCAATCAGAGCCGTGACAACCATCACGAATACCATAAACGAACTAAAAAAAATGCTCTCACAGACAAAAAGAAATATTTTTTCCATTCCCAAAAGTATGATAATTAGAGATTTATTTTTGTTTGTAAAAGATTGATTTTTTAGATTATATTTAATATATTTATTTTTCAAAAAACAATTAATAATAGTTTTTGGGTAAAAAATAATAAAAATCAATATAAAATTGAAAAACAGATAAAAAGTAACTTAGAAAGTAAATAATTATCGTTTTTAATAACTGTAAAACATCTAAAAAATCAAACTTTTTAACACAGAAGAAATATATTTTACAGTATTTAATTAAATAATAAAATTATCAAAAAATAGAAATTTATATATTTTAACTTTAACTAGATGTTAAAAACATTGAAAATTTATTAATTAACTTTCAATGTTAATAAATAAATTGTTAAAAAATTGTTTCTATAAAAATCCTAAACTATTATCGTATCCTAATTCTTTCATATTAATAATTATTTATATTTTTATAGTAAATCATATTATTAATTGAGAAGCAAGTTGGGCTGTGGTTTAGAGTTATAATTGTTGATTACTTTTTGCCCCTTATACGAAAAGACTTTAATTACCCTTAATAAAATTAAAAAATTAATATAATCTAATTTTTAATTAATTTTCATTTTTTAATCTAGATTTCCAAAAATTCGAGTTTAAATCATATAAAATATTCAGTTTACTAAAAAAAGATAACTAACATAAATCACAAAAAATCCGATCCTAATTATTTTCTTAAACTAATTTTAATTTGATTGTTTAACCTACTATTATTTTTGACTAACCTAATTTATTTATACAGCCACAAGTAAAACCCTAAATCTTTTAAACCTTTTTGAAGCTCTGTATATATTAAAACAATTTTTTCAAAACAATCTAGATCAATCGACGGCCGTACGTCTCTTTCTACAACTTTTTTTTTTAGATTTCTAATCTTTTTTCAAAAAAACAGTCGTGAAAGATTCGAAGTTGCGGTTTTATTGAGAGTTTTGTTTGATGTAACTAGACAACAAAATATACATATAATTTTTCATCGGATAATATAAGAGATATTAAAAAATAAGATATAGATAATATTTTGCTTTATCACATAAAAA